ATACCGGATGTTATTTACAAAAACCAAATACATGTCTTTATGGATTCAGATTAATAAAAAACACAAGTTTGATGAATAAGAAAAAATATAGTTCAAACGGCATTTAATTACCAGTCATAAAATCAATTAATAAAATTAGTTATGAGTGGGTTAATCAACATGAATAAAATATATCGCGTGAATTCATTAATATGCTGTGAATCATAAATAATCGAGAATCTATATGAAATTATTTTAATATATAAAGAGTAATCCATGGATAAACGCGAATATTTAATAATTCATTTGTAATCTCATATAAATCCAAATTTATCACGTGTTAAGGATTAAATCTGTTTATAATAATATACATATATATTGTCGTTGGATGAATTTTGTTTTAAAAACATCCATATCATCTCTACCGTTTGAAAAAAAAAAAAAATAGGATCAAATGATTTTTAAATGAGAAAACTACTTTTCTGTAATTTGATAATTGGGATAAAAAATTTGTAAAATACCATAAATTTAATTGAATTCAATTAATATTTTTTATGGATCTATAGAAGTGAATAAAATGCTTTTTTCAGATAGTAAAATGAATATTAATATCACACCTGCTGCATGAGTTCAGCTCTATTATCACCTTTTTTTTCAATTAAAAATTAATACATTCAATATATACAACAATATGACTTCATATTGGCATTGTATCACAAAAGAATTTAATTTATAAAACGGTACAAAAATATTTTCCACACAATTTGATATAGTTTGTAATGAACTTGACCTAGACTTTTAATGAGGTTGTTTACCTATTGACTGTATTTTTTACCCTCTTCTATTACTCGTCCGTTGTGCTCTAACTCATTCAGTTGGATGGATGAATCCCGTGTTACGCGTACGAAGTACTTTGCCAGCCGATAAAACGAGAATACTATTTTATGTGTCACAATAAATTAAACTAATTATTTTTTAAAAACAACATTACCATAAATAACCATCAAGGCACGTATCTGAGCTATCATGTTTAAGCAAAACTGCGAAATAATATATTTCATTGCTACAGAATTATAAATCATATCAAGTTAACTTTTTATGAGTGTTTCACTATCAAAATGTTATTTTTAAAATTTTCATTGGCACAATTTTTATCCACTTAACTCATAAAATGTATTGAGAATAAAATTTCACTGATATTTCAACGATAAAAAAAAATTTACTTGAATTATTTTTATTTACACAGTGCAAACATATTTGTGACAAATATTTTGAAAATATTTTATATCGACATTTTGTTGAAAGTGCTTGCAGAGTAGTTTTCAATAACTCTTGATTAACTAATTTTTATTTTCCTCTTCATAACATGTATCATAAATATTCGTTTAAAATAAATCAATCTATTCAGTATAAAATGCATCATTGAAAATTTTTTAATTATATTATTCACTTAAAGTAATTAAAATGATTACGTAATAATAACAAATGAAGTATCAAAAGGTAAAGAACATCATTAACTCAAGTCAGGAAAATGCACTCACTAAAGTGCAGAATTAGGAAGCTTTATTCTGTAAAGAATGATAACAATAAAAGAAGAAAAAACAAGAAGAGGCTTTTAACTAATTAATATTCTGTTTTTGTCATTTCAACATTATTGACATAATTACTGGTTTCATTTTTTACTCAAATCATTATGGATTAAATTGAAATCCATTGATCACTTCAAGTCTCAGGGATAATGGTTACAGAGTCTCTAACTCTAATTAGTAACTAATGATATCAGGCCTGTCAAATGCAATTAATTACTATTATTTTCACCAACAAAAAGGTAAGTAATATCAGTTTAATTGACAAGTCTATTAAAAAATTGATATTACATACGTACTGATGAACTTTCGGTTTTTTTTCTCATCAGAAAAAGTACTTTTTTGCTCGTCGAAACTAAATCGATTAAAATAGAGCACAAATTTAATGTGTTTCACATGCAGACCATGCGATTGATACATTGTCCTGCTGGCTTGGTGTCAAACCTTTAAGAAAACAGACAACAACCTTTTTGAACTTCCCCCTTCAATTCTCAATCGTTAAAAAAATTATTTTACTTCTTTAAACATCTTATTTGATATATAATTCGATTTTTATTGTTTCTCAGTTCATCCTAATCTTAAAAAATTTTAGACCGGAAACTCAATATAAAATAAATGATCTCCGAGGTCGGTAATTGCTGATGTATATAAACCTGGCATTAATGCAGCTGAGTGTACTTTGTCGTTAGCCATTTACTTTTTTTAGGACACAGTATTCTATAAAAACAGTACGTCGTTTATGTATTCTCGAAGTTACTATTTCATAAGCTAATAAAAAAGTTTGTATCATCAAACAACATATTAAAGTTTTACGAATCATGAAATGAGACTACAACTACAAAAATTAATATTTTTATTTCAAAGAAAATAATTACTGTGGTAGCATATCTTCCCCAACAATAATATCCATCCGAGATAGAGTATTATATTTTTTTTATTACATTCATAAGTTACTGAATGACCAATTCGATTCGTCCATTATCCACGGACAATTAATCCGAAAATTAAACTATCAGATGCTGCATAAAAAATATCATGGATATTTTTGATTCTAAAATAATGTAATTACTCATAAATGTATGTCATTCGACCTATGGACTCATTAAAAAAAAAAAACAATCCAAGATGATAAAAAAATAAATAAATGACAGCAGCTTTTAATTAAATTAACAACAATCAAAAGGGTTTGAAGTTTTCTTCACCACAGTTTCCCTCGCTTATCGCATTTCTCGTTGGGCCATAATATTTGCAACTAACAGTCTATTAACGAGATTATTAATTATACCGACATATTCAACGGCTCTGAACTCGCGTGTAATTATATCGAGTTTATGATAGTTTCTGTCTAACTATTATATTAGTTATCTCACTCTAGAATACCAGACTTGTAACTTACATACCTTAAAGTACTACTTTGATAGATTTTATTATTATGAGGACTATATTGCTTTATTTATTTGAGTTGCTAATAAATTTTGACATAATAGAGTAGAAGTATGGATTTCAACCAACTGTCAACATTAACTACTCCTGAAACTACACCACTGACTACTTCAACTTGGACGTACTCTTCTTCATCTCCTTCAATGGAATACAACAGCGAAGCTTCTAGATACTGTTAAAATTCTGAGATTTATATTTTATTTTCTATGATATTTTCATCAGCTTAGATTTTTTCTTTATAAAAAGTTTAACGTAAAATTTCTGGAAAGCTTGAAGCTCAAAACATAAGCAGTGAGTTAAAATTTATACTTTTATAAACTAGAAAATTATACTGAAAACTTTAAACACTTTTCAAAATGATACTTATTTTAGAAAGTTCAGCATGATAACTTAAAACCTAATCCACTGATGCGTTTTCAAAGGATCTTTTCTATTCGTAATTAGTTTTTCAATAATCCTAAGTCGGATTACAATAATCCATCTAGAATTTATATGTATATTTCTATTTCTATTGCTAGAAGAATAAAAACATTGAAAATTGGTTGATATTTTTTTAAAAACTCTTATCGTCCATGCTTCTATTTTCGTTTTTATTAATTTAAGTATTGATTGTAGACTAAATGCATACTTACATTGAAGTAATTCAGAAAAATCAGACAAGATTCAGCAATAATGTTAGACACATAAAACTTTGATTGATCAATGAAACTTCTAATGTTAAATGGTCTATCAAACTCTGACGCTTTATTGCCAGTTTTATTTATTCTCTCATATTGACCTACGCCAATAAAAAAAACAAAGCTTGTTTTTTCAAACAGTTTAGACTTTTTTTGTTGTTGATACTCCCTGAGTTTAGTTGTACTCACACTATTATAGTTATGTCTAACATAAAACACTAAAAATCTAAATAACTAATGGCTAAAGAATAAATCACCAAAGAACAATTCTTCTTTGTCTCCACTTTATTTTGCGTCGAAATTGCAATAGATGGTGGTTCTCTTCAATAGAATATTTATAAATTACATCAAAGTGGATGCTGTAAGTTTTCAGATGACTCTACAATATGTTCTTTCACCTTTTGAAAAGACGTTGAAAATTAAATATCTTAAAGCCATCCAAGGAAAGAACTTTTTGAAAAGACGGTTATATCAGCATAAATTCTATCATGTTCGAAATCAATGACTAAAAGAAATTTTCAAATTTTCATTAAGAATAAATCATTTTCAATTTAAAAGTGAAATGAAGAAATAGGTAGAATAAAAATATCATTAATTAAACGATAATTAAATAAACAGTTCAGGTTATCTAGCGCAAAATAGTAAAATGCAAGCTACACTAATGACCAGATAATCAATTAGAATCGCATCAGCAGATCAATTGTTCTAGAAATATAGAAAATAGTTGGATATTAATTGGGACCGTAAAATTTATTCGCTTTTAAGACTACATTTTCGATTTAAAATATAGTTACTTGATTTATATTCGCATTTGCATTTAAAAAATCACTCGTATTAAATTTAATTAGATACTAAATACAAACTATATATTTCAATATTTTGGGAACGATTTAATAAGATATCAAGTAACCTGGAACACTAGCTTTAAATTAGAAATAATGGTGTGTTGACAGAAGCATCTTGGGATCATCTTGAAATTAGTAAATGTAATAGATACATATATTCTAATTAATTGTGATTATACTAAACACAGGCTTCTGTAATATCGTGTATCAGATGACAGGAAACCTTGCGCTAAAATAGCATATAGCAACAATTTTCATGTAATATCTGATACAGATTAATTACAAGAAACAAATAGTAAAAAAATTTTAGTAACAGGATTTTATGAGTGCTTAAATTATTGAAATTGTGATGACGGAATTAATGTAGACATGCATTTATTTTGCCTGTCTGATACAATAAATGAATTTACACAAATTTACAAAGTATTTATTAATTTCTTTTATTAATTAACTTATATTGTTCATTATTCAATAAATTGTCATCAAAAATGTGCGTTTCGAGTTCAAACGAATATGAAATTTTTTAATCTATTGATATTTCCAAGGAATATTTATTGCGTAGGCTCACTTAAAGTAAGTCTTTTTTAAACTGTTATTTAACATTTATTATAATTTAGTTTATCAGATGAATATAAACTTTTCATAATTCATTTAATGACAACCACGAATTCTGATAATTTATAACAAGATATTGTAATTATATAATGAATAAATTTAAATGACAGCTTTTTCTAGTAAAATCTCGAAATTGAAATTGATACATATAAATTTTAATGTACAAACAAAAATATCTGCAAATCAATTTAAAAAATGCACACTATATAACATAATTTACAAGAAATAAAAATAATATATACAAGGTTTTAAACATAATAACATACATTCAAATAATGGAAATATTTCTCATCTTTATCGCAGCCAGAGTATTGAAAAAATAATCAATTGTTGTATCATAAAAATAAATTAACTGTGTTTACAAAACTGGCATACAAATGAAAAAGTTTTCTTGTATTAAAAATGTCTTCGAGTTTCATTGTTTCATTTAATTATTCTGTCACTTAGTTGATAAAAACTGCATCGTATTTTTTTCTATAAACGTGGTAAAATGTTATCAATATCTAAATTAGTACAAATACGAATCTATTTATCAAATTACTGGTAATGTGCACAGTCCAATAGTCTCTAAAATGCTCCAAAATTACAAAAATTCAACGCTTTCGTCATTAATTTTATAAACGGGCTATAATTTGAAATCGCTGGCCCCGAATTTAATGGAATAATGGAGATTTCCGATTGTAATTTGAAATGTCAAGTGAGGATATAATCAAAGAATGAATTTTTGCTTTTGTTACAATTCGATTTCAATAACAAATACTTCATGTGTTCAAATAATTCTACGATGCAACAATGAATCAGTGGTATATATGTTAAAAATACAATTTGTCGACGCAAAATATTAATGAGGATACTATTCAAATATATTACCACATCAATATACAATAATTCATAATATGAATATATTTATCTGCTAGGGGGTGAAACAATGATACTACATTCACCCTACACAGTTTTACCGTAAAATTTAAACTTTTGCAACAGTTTCGTTATTCAAAAAATTTTAAAAGCTTCTTTCAAGAATCAGGAATAATATGAAAGCTGCATGCTCCATTGTTATCATACTATTTTATTGTTATATTATTTTAGCGTTTCTTCGTATGCATACTATAGCTTCATGTTGCAAACAGATATGCCTAGTTTTTATTGAATTGAGCAGTTCATTTGAATCACCCTATTGTAATAGTTATTATAAAATAATGAATATACTGACGAATACTCTAAAGCTTTGGAGTTTTTTTTTTTATAATTCTCGCCTTGACTGTTTGATAAGGTTTCTTCTATTCATAGCTGATTCCATGTGAAAGAATTCTTCCTTATAAACGCAATAAAAACAATTTATACAAATACAGATAAATTTTATAAATCTCCACTTAATTTATTTCTTCTTTATATAACATCATTTTATTATGATTGAATACTTTGAATATAACACAAAAGTGAATTTTTCGATCGTACAATAAATCAATTTATAAAGTAACAAAATAAAATTTAATTTGATAAAAAAATTAGACAACAGAAAAAATAGTTTTCATCTCATGGAATCGTCGCTGATGAATGCTAAATCTAGAGAATACTGTCCTATGTGTAAGTACACTTTGACAAAAATGTATAAAGTATGAAATTATAAAAATCGGACAAGCACAATCGATCGCTTAGACTTGAGAAAAAAAATATATTTATGCATAATCTGAATATATCTAAATGAATGATCATTCACTTTATATACAGACGATGATGCGTATGTTCACGTTTACTTGGAATTATTAATGAATATGGATTTATATGGATACTGATTATCACGTGATAACGAATGACTTGGCTTTTATTTAAACACTATTGAAAGTCTCGAACCGTGCAAATGAAGATAAAACATTGTTCTGTTAGCTGTCATTTGATGCAACTTCACTTATATCCTTGCCATTGTTTGGATAAATTGATGGAGACTGGCTCAAATCTTTCGTTATCATTTGACTTGGATGAATAATTGGCGCTGTCGTCTGCACTACATTGCAGGAAACGGGTACAATTGGCGGCAAACTTATTGAATTATGTGGAGAACCTGTGCAAGGTATTGATGGTCGTTTCCGTTCTAAGCTGTTCGTAGCTGTTTGTTTTCTTGCAGTTGAATTCCTCTCTAAGCTGTTGGTCACTATGCGATGTCTTCGCTCTAGGCTAGACATTGAACTTCCGTCCGATGGACTACCAGGTAATGAACGATCAACTTGTCTACCATCTAATCTGTGTAATACATCTCCACTTTGACTTTGTCTGAAAGTCATTTCCGACCTCTCAGTTGATTGACTTCGTCTCAAGAGCTGTTCTCCTGATTGACTTGAACGAATCCGATGCTCTGGAGTTGATTGACGGGTGTTACAAATGTTTTCGTGGTGCCTCTCGCAAATCTGATTATCTACATACGGATAATGAATACGAATTGAATCTATAACATCGAGTAAATTCTTTGCATCCATCGCTAAAACGTGAGCAGCAGATAACATTCCCCTAAAAACAATATATTTCATTAGATCAAGTGTATAAGTGTATAATTTATACAATTATTGTTTCGAATAACATTTTTGTTGATACAAAAAGTTTTCTAATTTTCTGTAGAAGATTTAAATAATTTTATAATGATAGATCAAAAGAGCTTCTGAAAGTTCTTAAATATTCATTAAAAGTTTTATATTCAACTTTTTAGTGACATCTACAAAACTAGAAAATTTTTGCTTCACTTTTACGTTTGAAATATTTTTATATAATCATGCTCTAATAAATAACTTGAACTTATTTTTCTAATAATCGTACACATCAAAGAATATTACGAAACTTCTTTCATAAAATTACATGATATATAAACCCCAAAAAATGAGCTTTCTATCAATATTGATAGAAATTATCATAAGAAATTGACATCAAAAAAAAAGTTCTCTTGGGAATAAATAAAAAATGACCTACTTTCTATATTCAGCATCCAAAGTAGTAGAACTGTAATTCTGAGCCAATTTCATTGCGGTCACAAGATCAGCCATGTCTTTACTTAATACTTTATGAGCCATTTCAACCTGTCGATGCGCTGTTGCAGGTAAAATGTCTACAAGACTATCTACTGAAGATAGCAACGATCTGAGGTCAATTCCTACTCTTCGTACCAGTTCTAAATACTGATCAGCTTTACTTTGTTGAACTCCTTGAGATAAGGACATTACAGCTCGAACAACATTGGTTGTACAATCGTATACTTTGTCATTTGTTCGGTCTAGATCAGCAGTAGGTGTGGGTTCCATTTTCTACAATAAAGATCAGATAATATTTGTTTAAAAAATCCATTTGCTCTCAAATAAAACCTATTGTAAAATGTAATAAATATAAATGAGTATGTATACCTTGACGACAATAATTTTGTCACCACTTTTATCCGAACCAAACGAACTTGTATTGGCACTATGAGTCTCGTGAGCTGGTGATTGGGTCATGGAACGTGGAATAGGAGGACTCGCACTCTCATCGCCACTTGTAGCAATGGATAATCGCTTCTAAATATTAATAAAACAATTAGTAAGTATTATCTTTTGTGTAAAATTAACAACTCCAAAAAAATTTCATACTTCCTCTCTTGCAAGCCATCGGCCATCTTCCTCCGATTGCCTTTGTTGTTCAAAAAGTCTTTGTTCCAATAATTTTTGTTCTTCATCGATGCTGTTATGAATATTTTCAGTAGTATTGTCAAACAATTGCGACTGTGTATTTCTCTGAAACTGTATAATGAAAATTATATATTAATAATTTATAATTAAGTCAGTAATTAAAAATTATGGATTATTGTATTTAAAGTATATTGGTGTTATAAAAAAACAGTAGAAAATTAATGTGTCAAAAAATTGGAATATTATACGGTTAGAGAAAAATAACGCCTCCTTGATTAGATTATTGAAAAAGTATGTACAGAATTTTATTTTATACGGCGAAAGATTAAAGAGATGCATAAAAAATCCAGAGAAAATAGCACAAAAACATACGTTGTGCATGCAAATCAAAAAACATCAGCAGACGTAAGAAAAAAAAAACATTCCCCATGCCGGAATCTTTAATCTAAATAATTAAAATTATGAATACAAACAATCAATTACCTACTAATAATATAAACAGGGCTATTTCCAAAATAAATAACAAAATTCCGATTAAAAAATGTGAGAGCTCGTGCTTCGAAAAGCGTAAATAACAAAATTGAAAGTGCGAAATAGTGCACATAATCAAAATTCTAACCAAAAAACCAAGAACAAATCATTCTAAATCGTAGATTATCAAATAACGGATGCTGTTATTTCCAATGGGCTTTGCCAAACCTGATCTTGCTGAACCTCTTCTAAGATTGAGCCGCTAGATGACATGGTACTGTCGCTGACAGCTGAAGAAACCAGCGAGCTGGATAAAGTACCATCGATGGAGCTCACGAGTTGTTCTTCTGTATTAGAACTAACAAAAGTCGTTATTTTAGCAATGCCAGTGGCTACTTGTGGTCCACTAGGTCTAGATGATTGTGGACTGACGTTTGCCATCTGTGCATTAGCAATTGAACAATTGACACCTTGTTGATTAAAATCACCGATACCTCCAGAATTTATTGGCATATGTTTTACTGGTGAAGATGAATATTGAGGCTGATTAATTTGCTGTATCGGTACAGCGAATTGTGGATGAGATACGTGCACCATTGCTGAATATTGTTGATTGACTGATGGATTAATATAACCACTGGTTGGTGTTTGGTTTTCAAATCCCTGTTGAGATGAATTCTGCGCCTGAACAACCATGGCTGGGGTTGATTGGACTGTATAAGTTGGTGCTACTCCATTAGCTTGTCCATGAACCGGGTATTGTGTTGGAGTAACAATAGGTGCTTGTTGTTGATTCATTTGCTGAATATTGGCAATATATTTTGCTCTTATCTCATGCACTGATGATCCACCTTGTCCAAAATTTGGATGTTGTTGATGTTGATAATTTTGTGCATGTACTGTTTGTTGTTGGAAATTTTGTGTTGGCGGACTATAAACTCGCGAGTTTTGAGCAAATTGCCCAACGGAAGATGCAGATTTTGCATCAGTGCAGACTTGACTGTGAGCTGTTTGTGCACGGAATTTTAACACAGGACCGTACAAACATTCAGTGCCTGAAACGGGAATAGCTGAACTAACCCCACCACCAATAGCATTCTTTAAATTTGATGAGGACATAACCGAGCTCTGACCGCCACCAGATGCCTGAGAAACACCTGAGGAAGAACACTTGGCAAACTGAGAAAAGATAGGTTGATTTTGTGCATGCTGAGACATCAGACTAGTAGGAACTTGATGATTTGTAACATTATTGAAACTATTGGGCCCGGAATTATCAATATTTTCACTAAAATTACTACCGACATTTGGACCCTGACTAAAATTACCGATAATTGCTGAGCTTTGAGTAAAATTCGCAACGGGACCATAAATATCACCACTCACAGATGTCACAGTAGATACTGGTACGCCAGAAGAGACCGAAAATTTTTGAACAGGTGAATATAAATCACCTGTCACATTACCAACCACCTTCGAACTGACTGCATATAAATTTTGCATCTCTTTAACCTTACGTTGTTGCTGTTGCTTTCGATTCGCGGCAGGTGATTGCGTTTGAATAGAATCCGACATGCTAAGATTAGACATAATGGATGACATTGTATCTGTAGAGTCAAGGGAGTCTAGATTCGCTTCTGATTGAGCTGAATCTGCAGATGGACATTCATTGTAGCCGATGCTACTGGGTTCGGAAACGGTAGGTTCGAAGAAAGGTAAGTCTGATACAGTAGCAGTAGTAAGAACTTGCTGATCATCTTGAAACTGAACCGCAAGCGTATTGAAGGCAGAGGCAGGCGTCGTGTACACAGAGGGACATACCCCCCGAGCTTGGTTATCCTTTAATAGTTGAGCTAACACCTCTGGACTCTGCGCAACGATATATGTGGACACGGGAGCTGCTGTTGTCGATACCTGAACGGGCTCCATGGATGTTTGAGGTTGTCTCGAAGGTTTAGGAGGTGGAACATCATCTGCTCCTACATACATAGATATACCAATGAGTCATATTAAATAATTCAACAGCAAGATCAGCTTCTTCGATAGTAATCAATACATACCCCAGGACATAGCTTGCACTCGACGGTTTTCACGTTTCATCGTTTCCTGCTGCTGATGTCTTTCTTCCAATAAAATTTCACTGAAATAAATTGGAATATGATATTTTCTATACTCGAATAAACATAATAAAATAAAAAGAATAAAACTTACTGCAAGTTTTCTCGAATGTCTTTGAAAGTTGGTCGTTTACTCGGTTCGTAACTCCAGCATTGAGACATCAAAGAATATAAACGCGGAGGACATCGATCAGGAAGAGCCAATCGTTCTCCATTTTCTAGTTTACGTATCACTTCATTATTCTTTACTCCTTGGAATGGTTTGACTCCTAACATCAATATTTCCCACATGCAAACACCTAAAACCAAACAATAGTAAGAGCATTTTCAATCCGCTAATAAATAATGAATATTTATATGTGAATATGTAATCTTACCAAACATCCATACATCGGACGACGTCGTAAATCGTCTAAAGTTAATGCTCTCAGGTGCCATCCATTTTATAGGTAATTTACATTTACTAGCGATATAATAACTTTGGTCCTCCACCCATCGACTTAAACCAAAATCAGCAAGCTTTACACATGTATGAGATGATACTAAAACATTCCTTGCTGCAATATCTCGATGAACAAATTTTTTACTTTCAAGATAAGACAGTGCTGTGCTCAATTGAAATGTATAGAGCAAAAGAGTAGCGAGATCAAGACGATGTTTATTGTTCTGTAAGTATGCCCTCATTTCACCTAACCGTGCCAGTTCCATTACCAGCCAGATTGGTGCCTCTGAGCAAACGCCGATCAATCTTATTATGTATGGATGTTCAAACTGCTGCATTATGTCTAAAATTAATTTATTCAAAAATTTATTTTTGTAATAAATGAATATATTAATATAAATTCATAAATATTTTAAATTATCGATCGCTATAAACATTCAATTTAAATATTCATAAATAATTGAAAGGCTTATAGACAAAGGCACAAGGTATGTATTGCGAATGAATCATTTTCGTAAAGCGTAAAACACCTTATTAAGGATGACAATGGTTGGACATTAATGTATAGCTTTTGTAAGGATGAATGAAAATACTTACAAGCTTCTTCCAAGAATTTTTCAGCGGTCGCAAGATCGGCGTCGACCTTACACGTTTTAACAGCGACAGCAATTGTCTGACCGTCTCGACCTTTGTACGATCCCTTATGAACATTTCCAAACTGTCCTTCGCCTATTATCTCACCTAACTCTACTTGATTTCTAACTATTTCGTAGTCACGAGCTGAAAGTCATAAATGAGTAAATAATTTACATTTGAAATGTCTTTCAGTTGTCTGATCACATGAATAAATCATTAAGAAAATCGTTCTTACCAGCTGGTGTGGAGTAATCGCCCTCTTCGTCAACAATCTCTGCATAATCCTCCGATAAAATTGTTCCAGTCTTTCCGGCGTTTTTCTCAGGGCTACCACTATTATCTTGTCGGTACTTTGGTGGATGAGCATCTAATGAAAACAAACAAAAGCCTATTAATAGCTACCACATGATTTTTATACATTATAAATACATCACTCTGCCTCTTTAAACAATTGAATTAAATATAAACATCTCCAATTGTAATTAAAAATGATAATTAATACTAATAAGCTGATACTGATTGTCCTACTGATAAAAATTAACCATATACCAACCTTTACAGGGACATGGGTAATTTTTCCATGAAGCAGCTTTGAAAAATTGAATTAATAAAAGTTAATAGCTAATCAATTTTTTTTTTTAATATCCATAAAAAGTAGCTTAACATGTAAAGTGTTTTATAATAATAAAATCCTATTACCTTTTCTATTCCATAGCGAAGTGTTAGATCCTGTGGTTAACCGACAGTAACCATCGATTAAATCAGCCAGACTTTCAGCTTGATCCAAACTTGAACAAGTGATACTAAGTGTCTCTGAGGCTCCAGCAACTCTAAGTTTAATACAAGCTTTGGCATGTTCTTTACAGTCGGAAACAAGAGTTTGAATCGATTGAATTTGAGAGAACTCAGCCATTCTCGTGGGCTAAAAAATATATCAATTTATTATTTTTTTTATTCAATTATCTAATGTTAATTAATAGACTAATAATAAATAAACTTGAGAAGGAAATGAACTTACCACTGTTCCACCTCGATGTGCCATGTATGAGATCCCAAGATCTGGACCGATAACTAGTTCAACTGGAATTGACCAGCTCGACTAATAGATCAGATAAGTAAATTAATACACCGTTGATTAATGATTAATCATTGAAAGTCGATCAAACTGGTTTAATTACTTACCCCTAATGCGCATATAAACCTTTCCTGATCAAATCTATAGTGCGAGCGTAGAAGATCGAAGAACTTGAACATACATTCGAGCTCAGTGAGAGCAGCGACCTTCTTGAAGTGTTGCTGAATGAGCTTTCGCAATGTTTTCGGTTTCACGCCGTTCAGCACTGAGCGTGGAAGGAATTTATGCAATCCTACCTGTAATTACATATTTATTTTTATTTATAAACATCTGACATCCTGTGAAGTATTTTATTGAAGATCTTATGATCAATTTAATTTTTTTATGATTAAATATTTTTTTATGTTAATCAGTTTTTTTACACTATTTATTACTACAAACTAAAACAAAATATATATGCCGTAACTGACCTCTCGTTCCAGGTACTCCAGGTTGCTCTTCTTGTCGAGAGCCACTTGCGGCATGTCTTTGAAGAAATATCGTATCTCTAAGCAACATAGTTGGACGGCCACATCTTGATCTAGCGTTGAGTGATTCGCATTCAGATAATCGTTCCGTACCTAAGTTATCATGAAGTACATTAATTTACTCAAGTTTAATTGATTCAATAAATACATTAACAATAACAACTCAATTATTTAATTACCTGATCATAATAGTAGTAAAATGTGACTTTATCTTTCTCATATAAATCATTAAGGTTCTGAGGTAAATAACGGACCCGTAGTTCATACCTCCACTCAGAGTGAGGGTGTTTTCGCTCATATTTCTCTTGCACCTATGACAGATATCATTATTGTCATTAATCATACTTTTCCTCGGCTTCTTTGACAACTGGGGATTAAGTATAGACGTTCTGAAGTACAGCATTAAGTATATATTGAAAGCATACTTGATACATTGTTGTGTCCTGATGGAGCCAATAACTCTCTCCAGATCCTGGATGATGTAATCTCATGGCGTACAGATTTTTGTAGTTTCTTGTTCCAACGGCCAATCGACTGGTCACCAGGGAAATTATTCCTTTGACATCGATCGCATCTCCAAACTTGACGACATTAAATCCACCTTTAAAAATATTAAATCATGTGATATTGAATTTTTTTCTTTCATAAATGTGTAGTCTCTATCAGATAATTATAATATAAGATGAACAGAAAGTCTGCTAGGCAAACTAGTTAAATATAAAAATAGATGATGGCAGTTATTTTTAGTCAAGTACTTCCTTTAAAGAAAAATAAAAATGGTCATAAATTTTTCAATTAAAATTAATTTTCAATTCTTATGCAATTGTTTTCAAGTAGATCTTATAATTTTATTATTTAATAAAACTTTATCAACTATATAAAATGTATTTTATTATTTAAAAAAAATGTACATTGGAAAAATTCAGATAAAATCTAAAATTGTGTCATGCCATCATTAATTTGTACGTGATTTTAGTTGGAAACGATCTTGATAAAAGTGATAGACAACCATTCTGGCTATAAAAATTTTTACTTTTTTTATTTTCCAACAAATGGTGGCTGTTCCATTGTGGTTACTATACTTTGTGTGGAAAAATTTTTATTCAACCTCAAAGAAAAGAAACCCTAACAACTCTTGTTTTTTATCTACAAACAGCAGATGTCTCTTTTATACTTGGAATGAAAATAGAAAAAGTATGTAATGCGTTTATTGTAAAGTAAATAGCATTGTTATTAATAAAATTAATAGTAGTCTTTACCATTAGGTAAGTGAACCTTCAAGGTGGCTTTGTCCATAGGGGTAGGCGAGCCATGAGGTGGAGTATTTTTTCCACCACCTCCAGTCTGGATACCGCCAGCTCCATCACCGCCTCCAGCGCTCATCCCCTCATGGCTGTAACAAGAAAGATAACCACAGGTTTACTAAAAGCACTCAGTAGTTTAACTTGAGAATATAAAGACATTCTCAGCTAGGAAAAAAAAAAGAATATTATTTCTTCAGCAATGTCTTTCATCTGAGAATCGTCATGGGAAAAGCGTTGCGATGCGTGACCCTGCCCGTGAAAAAGGAACGCGTCGAATGGATTCTCGTTTTCTCACTAAGCTCATTACACTCATGTTTGCACATGGGAGCCAGTTGCTACTAGGCATCATATATTTTTTTCTATTTATAACGCATTCTATAAAACTCATGAACACATTTTAATAAATCTTTTCCAACACAAAAACCATGATACTGTTATTTGAACAGTTAACAATTCAACCTAATTCATTTACTACAATCACAGCTATCAACAAAACAAAAAATTAATAAATTATCAGTTATAACAAATTTATATAAACAACTTATTATTATTAATTCCTGTAATTGATAAAAATAAATTAGAACACAACAGAAATACTTTATTCACATTAGATCAAGACGTACAGTTTAGAATAAGGCATATTCGCACTTGAGTGACTTCACTCCAAGTACGACCCAGTTTTTTGCAGCCCTCGCATCTTTCGATCCGCACGGCTGCACCTTGAAATTTATAAGAGGGGCAGAAAGCGCACCAGGGTCTCTCTGTGGGCGTTAAAGGATGTTAGCATACATTGCGGAGTAAGACAACATCACAGGGTACTTCAAGTGAAAGAGAACAGAGCAAAGTGCAAAATTGCATCGCGTGTCCACGACACATAAATGAAAGGAACCGTACACTTCCGCAGAGGGGTTGACTGCAGTCCACGTACCTTTAGAAGGAACATCATCTGACTTTAAAAGACCTTGTGGCAACCACGCCGGATCCACAGGCGTTTCCGCAACACACACGTATCGTTGGAACACAAAGTCCATTTAGCTTTCTCGTATTTATTAAAAGTAAATAAATGTCTTCATATTAATATACATTGGTGTCGATAAAAAAAAATCAAACGACTGAAGTGAAAACGATTCATAATTAATGCAAATAATATTTACTTAGAAACTGGAGAAAAAGGCTTGTAGAACAATTGGTAAAAATATAAATAGAGAAATTAGAATTTGAAGATTAATGATTTTCTTGGTAGGAAAAGATAAGACTGTGAAAGGGTTTCAGTGGATTCTAATTAATTTATAAATGTAAATTTTTATGCTCTAGGAGTTCAAAAGAATATTATTCTCTTGGAAATGAATAATTGACAAACGGAAGTATAATGTAGTGATTAATGGTAATGAATTAAATTAAACTAGTAATAAACTCTTAAAGAAAAAAAATAATTCTCTATAAAAGTCTAATAAAATATTCTTAAATATTTATAAATAAATCATACTTATTTTTACTGTATGAGATGTATAAATGACTACTAAATAAACTTAATCAGAACAAATAGTGGAATTTTTTACCAAGTTAATATGTTAAAAATATTTATATTATATACAGATAGTTGATTCAGCCTTATTAGGAATTCTCCAATTTAAAAAAGATATATCTTTACATCAGTTTTTATGAGTTGTTAAAAAAAAGTTTCATTCGTGTTTTAAAACAAATATTGATAAAATTTTTTACCAATGAAGAATAATATAATTCTATTTAAAATCTAATATTTTCAAAGTATTCCATGATTATAGACCAGTATCTAGTATTAAATATCTAATAATACTTGTTTATAAAGCTATGATAAATTGGATCACTATTTTTTATAAATCAATTATAAATAATATGTTATAATCTCATTCTCCACGCAATAAAGTGTAGGAAATGATGGAAATCGATTTTAATTAACGTCAATAAATTAGTCAACTCGTAATGGATTTGGTATGATAGACTCAAAGTCGAGCGTCTCTGTAGCCTTCATCAACAACAGTACCACGCACCTGCACCATCGCCCACGCTTTACCTTTCCCTATGACTTTCTCTATTGCACTTTTACATCGTCTGCTTGCGATAATGATTACGTATAAATTCACACTCGGGACTTAAGCCACCAGAACTAATGTAATCGACCAAGCGTTTCTCTTGGTTTGGTGAATTTTTATATTAACGAGTGAAATCACCTTGGACGCGAAACCCGATGGAACTTCCATGTCCCGATGGTATCAGGACTGTAGTGGGAATCACTGCAACCAAATTGACCGAGAGCACAAAGCAAACCTTTACTGTTACGTTGCCAAACAGATGATCGGTGTCTTGGCTTTGGAGTTTCCTGCTCTGATGAACGTCGCAGGATCATATCGCCTACAGGCTTTGTCACGAGTTTGCTAAAGTTCAAATTAGGATGAGTTGCCGTAGGCCATGACATCCCACTTGTTTTACGTTCTATGAGACTGAGCATTATTGCACATTTCACTTTAATCCGTTACTTCATTGTTTTCTACAATAAACTTGATTACAGTCTTTTCCATTTTTTCGCGTATAATTTTCACTGTCAAAAAAACATTATCGTAAATAATAGGGACTCTTCTGGTGATCAATAATCATAGATTAAATTTATAATCATATTGTTATGAGAGTTGATGTAATGCTATCAGGAAAAGCTTCTCTTAAAAACTTTATTACAATAAAAATTGTTTTTTAATTTTAAATCGTTTCTTTAGCATGTAATTAGGATTTTTTGGCAGAATAAATAGCATTTTGAGATGAATAAAAATTGATAAAATAATTATTGAATCATTCTAATTTTATTTGAATAGTATTTGATATGTCGAACAAGCAAAAAAAAGTGTGTAAAATGTATTGGATTATTCATATAATGATTCCTAAGTAGCAACTAACATTATTACAAATTTGCAAAGGATGAAGCCTTGTAAAAATGAAGACATTACGAATGGAAAAAGTTAAATGTTATTCCAGCTATTGGATTGAAATCATTTTTTTTTTTTTGTTGTTCAATAAAACTTTACAGACCGTAACAATTTTTAAAACGCCATGAAAATTCTTGACTTCAAGTTTCACTCCTACTTCTATGAGTTTTATAATTTAAGGTGTGAATTATGTTTCCGGGATCATATCACGTGGGTATATAACCGAAAACTATTTGAATGGTCAGCGTATTAAAAAAAAATATGATATCATAGTTTCAGCTGCCTGACTTGAGTGTTAGTGTAAATGTAAAAAACTGGAAGATTATTAAATAACAGGTGAAACACTTTAGTCTTAATCAGGAAACAAAGTCGTAGGTGCTTCTTCAATTATAGATTCAAAGATGAAAATAAAAATTTCATGATTACATCGCTAACAACATTTCAAAATAAAACTAACTGTTTATTGCTTGACCAAATCATGCACAAATTAATAGAGAAAAAAAATTCAAGTTCCAATAAAAACCGCTAATTTATACGATTTTTACGATTATTTAAACTCATAAGAATTTTTACAAGAGATTGATTATCGCAACAGAATGAATACAAGGAAGAAAGAAACATCTCCAAAGACGTGTGGGCGCCACTCAGGTTGACTCTTGTTTCGATAATTCATTATAGAGAAATTAAATGAGGTTAAATTACCACATGGAAATTGCAATCGTGATCTGACAGCTTAAAATAATATTTTGGTAGCTAGGAAGCTAATCCTTGACATATTTCAACAATTCATTGACAAAAGCATTGATGAATTAATAAAGAGAAAGAATGAAAAAATGAAATAAATGGCAATAGCTATAGTGTCATAAATCAAGGGAAACATTCCATAAGGATGACGATAACGTCATTTCTGTTAACTTGCATAATAATATTTATATTAATTATGAATTACACACATGGGGGAGTGTCGGAACAAAAAATTACATGTTTCTCGATTATTATAACGTCATTCATTTTATCACTGATATTATTAACAGCTAATGACAGTGATTTATAGCAAATCTAATCACTTTCAAATAATCACCACTACTCAGTTCTCCAGCATTCACTAAATTCACTTATTAATGAGCTTCCAAGTTCATTCATCATCAGATTGATAATTGTTTCTGCATTAGTTTCTGTATGTTGGTAGATAAAAAAATCTAATTAATCAAATAATTAATTACATTGCCACGTGGTTGGTGAATTGGAAAAAGTGTATATTACTCCAATGAATTCGCGTGAACGTTTAGATCCACCGTCAAACACTTACTGATCAGATACGACAAGGCAAGGACTTGAGAGTTTTCTCCCTCTCTCGTTTACCTTCTCTCTCTCTCTCTCTTCGTGTCTCGTTACCGCTGTCTTAATGCGTGGGTAGCCCCAACATACCGTTTGCAAGTTCCCATGAGCTAACTATAACAAAATAACGCCATTTCTTCTTGTGGGATTGAATAGAAAATAAAAATAAAAAAATATGCACGAAATTTGTCCTAGTATTTCGTTTAATACATTCATAATCTCCAGTTCGTTCGTGAATCAAAGAGTTGGACGATGAATCACAAGAGAGTAAGCATTTTTATTTTAGTCGGGTTCATTTTGGATATTTTCACATGTTTCAGGAAGTCACTTCGACGAGAGTGTTTTCAACTCGGCAAAATGTTTTTATAGCTGAGCTCGAGTATTTTTCACTCACTCGGAAAAATAAAATATGATTTATGAATTTGAGTAAAAGGTAATGAGATTTTTTTTTTTCAACTAGTGAAAAATTGAGAATTACTTCTCTTTAAAGTGTATAAAAATAAATTTGTGATTTGTTTCGTTTATTTTCTCGTCAATCTGAGAGCTAGAGTCTCTGGTAGAGAATTCTATATCAGCTGACGGCTTCAAATGCCAGCATAGCATGGATAACTTGGTACTGGTTTCTATAAGAGCTTAGTCACCTAAAGAGGGTTAAAATAAGTTTTAATATTACGAGATAAATAATAAAATATTACTACAACTAACTTTTTGTAGTGTTTAAAATTATTTTGAAAAATCTCTAAGAAAATATCTTGGTAAAAAGATTCATTACAATCACTGGAAATAACATCACAATTACAACGTCAAACAGTTTACTAATATTTCTGATTAAATTAACCAACAGCAAGAGGCAATCTCTGTTGAGCAGTTGATTGCTAACTACGTTGGACTGTGTTTCCTATTTCCTTTTATTATCTATTTACTTTAATTAGTAAAATAATTATTAAATTAATTATTTCTATTAACTTCAAGCAAAATGTTATTTCCATATCATTTTCGTAATCTATACATAAATATAGTTTTGTGTCTCATATTCCAGCTAACGAATATTTTAATAAAAAATGTTTCCAGTGAAATGAGTCAAAAATATGTTGTTGCTAATGAAGATGAATTTAAAAATGCTTATGATCTTTTAGAAGTGCTCACGACAGAGCAACCTAAAAAATTAAACAGAACTGTAGTTACTCCAAAACCAATTGTTGGTGATTACTGGATGAAAAAAATGGGACATATTAGAGAAGATTTACTACGAATACAAGCTATAATAGTTAAAGATGAAGATGTTGAAGGACCTTGCAATCAAGGACATCAAAAAACGTAAAGATTTAATTTATTTAAAGACAATATTTTATTGCTATTTCCAATACTGATTATTTTATTTCATAGTCAACGTCGGTTCTTGATGTGTGCAGGATCTATTCTAAATAGGAATCGAATTTTAACAACTGCATCTTGTTTGCAGGAAGCAATCAATGTCAGGTACACTATTTGTTCATGACTAAGTGATGAGTTAGTTAATTCAACCGTTTATTTTTTCCAAATATTTGTACAACTGATTTTTTAACTAGGCATAATATTCGTGCACCTCTGTCTGTGGTAATTGCACCACTGAAGCCATCGATTCAAGTCATCAGGATAGCAGAGTATAGGATTCATCCAAAACATATCACCAACCCTTATAGTGCAGACAACCCAAAACATAATTTAGCAATTTTAAGTCTCGCGTGCAGAATTTCATCAGTTAATTATCATAAAATTGAACTGCCTACTCTACCTATGACACACATCTGTACGGAAGAAAATTGCATCATTGCTGTTTATAGACAAAGTGGTTACGTAAGTTAACTTATTGTCCAGAGTTGAATGATCAATAAAATAATTTTAAAAAAACAAAATTAATCCATGAACTATTCTATTTCTAGATGAATGTGATTTATCAAATTCTAGCTCCACAAATACCATCGTATGATCGACGTCGAAGGTCAATTATTGATGAATCGAAAGAGAAGATAAGTGAATTGAATAGAAAAATGAAAACTGATGTATTCTATGATGATTCAGATTTGAATTTATTTAAAAATTTTAGTGATCATAGAATTTTTAAACGATCAAGTAATGGATTAAGAGCTTGTCCTCAAACTGGTGCTGCTGTCATGGTTAATGATACTCAAGTATGAAATATTTATTACTTAAACAAATATTTTTATATAAGAATTCTTTCAATTCCTTTTTTTTTAGACTGCAATAATAGCAACTTCTTGTGATGATCGACAAGGCCATGAACCCTTCTTGTATACTGATCTCTATTATAATCAAAATTGGATCAACAGCGTTTTGAATAACTGGAATAAGCCAGAGTATACAGAAGATGAATCTTCAAGAGCAGATGTCAATAAAACTCATTCAACTAAAAATTGTGGAAACTGTATATTCAACTTCTACATATCAGTGGGTTGTAAAGGAGGAAAAGGAAATTGTCTAAAAAACCAAGGAATGCTTTATAATCAGCAACCAAAAATAATCCACAATACTCGCCAAGTATCCAATCAAGAATTTATGGAAGCTTGGTCAGACACTCAGAAGCCTACAAATTCATGGAGTAATTCTCGACGAGTTGGAAGTCATAATATTCAAGAAACTCTATCGAAACAAATGGATCGATGCCCAAGCAATTCACCTGGATGTTTACAATCATTAGCTGAAATGAATGAAATACATCAGAGAATCCCTACTGGTCAGGTGAAAGAAGAGGTAAACATGGCTAATGAAAAACCTACAAGACTCGTTGTCAATAATCCAGTTATGATGAGAGGTAGGAATTATTCACATGGAAATGATATGGATAGAATGTTTAGATACAATGGGCTACAAAATGTAGGTAATCGTTCATGGTTTCTGAGAAATCCTAGTAAGCCAATACAATCTCCTCAGAATATTTATGATGTCAAAGGTTTCAATAATAAAAAATTAATCCAAGAGGAAAGAAATAATTGGTTACGACGTAGACATGCTAATAATTACGTTAATCCACAAATAAATCATGAAAATCCAATAATAAAAGACTCTGAAGATATTGATTATTGATTTATTTATTTTGATAATTCATTATTTTATTGTAATTTAATTAAAGTTCAATAACATAAAATATACATTTGAATTAATAATTCATAATTTAAATAAATTTTTATAAGTAATACAATCCATGTACTTGATCATTATTAATCTTTACTATCTATTTGAGTTTTATTAAAAATATTGAATTCAATTGAATGTAACCTAGTTTAGCAATTTAATTAATGGCATATTTATTTTAAGTCAATACTGTTGAATAAAAAACGAAATATCTAGAATGATTAATTGATATTTTAATATTATTCACTTTTATTATTCTTACTGATTGTTATCTATCATAAAAAATCGTTTAATTAATTGATCGTTACTTCAGTATATCAAAGTTAATTAGTAAACTTTTTGTTTCTTGGTATCAACAGTGCTTGTTGACACTTAAAGAACATGAATAAGCAAAGCAATCACGATTGCATGTTTTTTTTTTTTTAATTACTGTGTACAACTTCATTGACTTCATTTTTTTTTAATTCAATCGAATTTCTTAAGTCTTGTGTAACTCGTTGGTTTTTAACGGAGTTTTTTTTATTCAAGAAATAAAAATTCTGAGATGTCATCGAGATGGAACATTTTAATGATATTTTTGTTTTTAATTGTTGGGAGTTTACAAGAATATCAACCTTACAAGTTGGATATAAAAAATAAATTTAAGTCGAAACAATGGCATGATGATCAGAGGATTGAATCAGACACTTTGCATCAATTAAACGAAAATGAAACCAGAGATTCAGCTTCAAGTGATACAAGGGAAGTATGTAAATTTAAAAGCTGCTCAGATAATCCTGTGATGATGACACGAGATTCGCCAAAGCAAAACACGTTTCTTTTGACTTTCTCTCAGGTCAACTTATCCAACAGTAACAACGTGTCCTTGGAAAACTCACGATCTTCAACTTTCTTTGATTTCAAGAAAAATTCCAAACAGAGAAAGTCCAATGTGTTTCCTAAAAATCCAACTTATCTCAATCAGACTTTGAGAAATGTTTTAAAAATAATTACCAAAATTTTAATGTCACAAAATCTAGGAATGACAAAGAGAAATGACATGATAGAAACTGGACACATTAATTTAACTAATGAACAATCTTTTGAAGCTACAACACAGTTGTCTTTGATGAGTATTAATGAAATAAACAGAAACAATGGAAGAAATGAAGAAATTAATGATATTTATGACAAAGTGAGTGCTAAATTGGGAGATTTTCAACCAGAAAATGAGAAGAATAATTTGAATAACGGTATTAAAAACCAATTTAAGCGACGAGTAAAACGTCGGATAAACTTGGAACGATGGATATCTCAAGAATATGAGGGTGAAGAAGAGATGATGAAGATGCATGCATTTATAGTAAGAGATGAAGTAATACCAAGTTGTTGTACTGCAGCACGATCCGTCAGGTTTATAGTCAATTTTATTATTTTATTATAAAACCGTAAAGAAAAATATTTTTTATTTACTTATCGCCAATTTGTTGGTTTTTTTTCCTCTTTAACATAGGTAATTATCGTTTTTTTTTCCAGCGCTACCCGTTATTTTATGTGCAGTGGTGCAATTTTGACCCTTACGCATGCTATTACAACGGCATCCTGCATGCTTTTTGCCGATTTATATGAGTATGTGTGTTAGTGGTTTTATATAGTCGATCGTAAAATCTCAAATTGAATTATTTATAACCTTGACCATGGCTCAACTTTTGTAGGAAACACATCAGGGCTGATCTGGCTGTTCTCGTTGGTGGATCAACATCTTCACCATATGTTATTAAAATAAATCATTATGAAATGCATCCTAATTATGTGTATGATATTGATGATCCAAATCACGCGAAAAATAATCTTGCCATACTGTTTCTTAATTGCGGGTAAAGTCTGTTATTATTATCAATTACTTACATCAACATTTTAACTCCTTTTATTTTAGTTTTAGCTTCATGATGGGAACTATCGTTCCTCCGAAGCTTCCACAAGGTATTTACGATGATGTTGGGCATATTTGTTGTGGAGAAAACTGTGAGATTATAACAATTATTCAAAAAGCTGACGTAAGTGGTCCAAAAAAGAAGCAAAAAAACAATTCCAACACTGATTCTTTTTTTAAATAATGTGTTTCTTCTTTCTAAAGAATCATCACGTTGCTAGAGTATTAAAAGCTAAACACATTCCACCACCAGCCCATGACCTAAATGATAATAACAAAAGACAGCACGATGGAAGACGCAGAATGAAAATGAGAAAATCACACAAAGTAAAAAGAAATGTATCCTCATGGATTCGATATAAAAGAAGCCCGGGTAAGCTTGCTGAAGCACCGTCCTTTCTATTTAGAGATTCCGAGGCTGCAAGCACTACTGCAATAAAAAGCACTGAAAAAAGTTCAAACTCTAAACGGGAAAATATTAAAAATATTTTGGATGAAATTGCTAATGCGAAAAAACAATCAGTCAACAATGTAACTCATGCAAAAAATAATACTCTGAATATTTTAACTGAAGATGGTAGACGAGAACTCATTCGTATGTATGTCATTTCGTAAGACTTTTACCTGCAGATAATATATTATTAAATGATTTTTATAAACTTATTTTACAGAGAGAATTGCAGCAAATTTATCGATGATCGACGAAAAATTATCTAAAGTCGATTGGATGAAAATAGAGCAAATAATGGAATCGAAAATTCCAAATGCAAACAAAGAAAAGATAGAAAAGTTTGCCAACAGTGTAGTTGATGAAACGATAAAAAGATTGGGAACAGTTATAGAAGTTGACGGAGAAAATAGTAAAATCGATGTTCAGCAGGTGAAAGAATTACCATCTGAGAGAAAGACTAATGTGTTCATGTCTCTTTTGAATGAAAAAGCTCAGCAAAATCGATCATTCGGTGATTTCACAAATATTTTCACAGACATTATAACCAGCCTATTGCCACCAAAAGGTGCTGATAAATTATCAGTATCATCTGACTTAGTTATAGAAGAACAAGATTTATCATTACCACCACCAAAATATATTAATTGTCCACCACTTGGTGCTCCAATTTTTAAAAATGAAACACTGGTAACATTAAAAAAATATATTAACAATTATAAAACACTTTCATACAATTATTTTATAACTGTCATTATTTTAGATGGTTTATAATTTATTCTAGATTGCTATGGTCGCCTATACGTGTGACGACGTCGAGAGCTGGGTACAATGGAAATACGTAAGCATCTCCAGAAACTTAAATTGGATTCGTCAAAGAATAGCAGTAGAACAAAAGCCTCCTCCAACACTGTGTGATTCTCCATTCAGTGGAGAAGAAATGAGCTTGGATCAATTAATTCATGGATCCAGAACATTAACAGCAAGAAAAAATTTGCCTTTCTTTCCAGCAGGTTTTGAGGATAATGAAGCTTACAGGATAATCAGAAATCAACTAAAAAAGGCAAAAGAAACTAAGAAATATGCACAAAATTTAGCAACCACATTATCAGAAACTGATGAAGTTAAAAATCGTGGATATTTACAGAATTCAAATCAAATTAATCAAAACTTTAAATGGCGTAGAGCAAAAACTGAATATCCAGCTCCAATTAATGTTAACTCAAACACTTGCGTGACAAAACCAGACGGCTCAACGGAATGTCAATCACTGTCTGAATCCTCCAAAGATCAATAAGAACACTATTAAATGCTCAATTTACCCCCAGGTTTCAGAGCAATGGCTATCCGATTAGGAAGCCCTCCATAAGGTCAATCTATTCAATAATTCGGACTTTGACTTGTGAATTACAAAGCCTATAAATTAAATTCCTGGAAGCAACACGATAAACTTCCTATTACTTACAAAGGCTTTTCTAAGTGTTCTAAAACTATGTATGCATAAACAAAGCAAATTCAAAGGCTGTCTATTTAGCAATATCACTACCAACATCTCGATTTACTTATGAATAACTTGGATGAATAGACGATCTCATCGTAGAATCTAATTTGTGGCTGCCTACATATCTATACATCTCAATATCATCGATGTAACAGGAGGCGATATATCCTGTTTCAAGATCTGATACACCATGGTATAACAAGCGTACTATGTTGTGGCTTCCCACGTGTAAATCATTAATGAATTGTGGTTACATTTCGGATAGGATGCACTTCCCGTCTTCCTGCTACTGACAGGGAAACTCAAATCTCAACTCAAACTATCACACCGCTTCGAATTACTTCTGACAATTTCCCATTACTCACAGCTTACAAAGAGAAACTACAAATTATTTTATGAGCTTAAATAGACTTGTTAGCTGATAATGAATTGCACAAATATGGTAAATCTACCTAAAAAAAATATTTCCTGTTTTTTAAGTTGAATTTTAGAATTTGTTTCAAACTTCCAAGCATCAAAGTTTTTTTTTCTATAACTTTATTAATGAATTTTCATAATTTATAAGCATATTCAATATCTAAACTAGTAAAATTAGCTATAAAATATTCATAATTTATGTACATTTAATCCACGAATTTTCTACATGAATGATGATGAGAAACAACTTGGTATGGTATCAAGAACTTTACATATTGATCAACACATTTAGTATTCGTTTGTTGTTCCATTGAGAAAAAAAAGTAATTTAAAATTTTTTGTGTAAATATAACTGTAGAATAAAAATGATTAAAGCTAACAGTGGTAGCAGAAGACAAACAAGCTCTATACTATTTACAAATGGAGTGCAGTTCTTGTTTATCTACGCTCAGAGGTATTTCATATTATCCACCCATATCCCATATTAGGTACAATTCACTGTCATTATATTTTTTAAAATTAAAAAGTAGAAATATATTTTTTGTCAACCATTATTGCTATTTTACTTACTCGCTTGTTTCGAGATACTGGAATACTCGATACACTGGACGGCGATACATGAAAAGATGACCCTCCACACGATCTACCATCATCCTAGAGTCTCTTCATTCGAACTTGAATACCAAAAACACTGACACAAAGATCGAGAGAGCAATCACTCGAACATCAAAGTACCTCTCTTATTTATTTTGATTGCATCACCACAATGATTGCAATCATTTAACAAACGTTTACTTATAATCACTCACTAGTGTTTATTTAGCCAATAATTGATGTATTTTTTAGTCTATGATCATTTTCATTGTGATTCAATTCAATCATTTCGCTGAAAAAACGTATAAGAAATATTATAAATAATATAAAACCGGTATTTGAATAATGAGAGGCAGGTGTTTGTGTGGACGGAAATATTTAAATCGATGGAGTTTGATTCAATCTTATCGAGTTTTGTTAGCTCTACAAATGTAACATAGTGTTATTCAATGCTTTGTCCAACAGCATTGATTATCGGGTAAAAAACCGATAGAATGTAATCACACCAGCTTCAACAGTCTATTATATTGTGATCAAGCCACCGCCTAGATGAATTTGCTTATACACACTAACCACTATTGGAAATAACAGTGTTGAACCTCCCTCTCCTGTTCTCTCTCTCTTTCACCCTCTCATCACAGTGAGGTTCAACGTTCCAAGATACACGAAACGTCGTTTCTCCGGTCAGTGCCCCCCTTCACAACGCGATCCTAAATTTACTCAAGGGAATCTCGACGCAATTTAGTCTCCGAAACGGCAGTTTAGAAACATGACTTTGATTTGCAACGAAAATGTAAACTTTCCGCAACAGCATATCACTAACTAACTTGATCTCCAAACATTCACAACACCAGTTGTCATTGGTATTATTTTTTTCTCCAGTTAATCAAATGGCCATTTTCTTTTCCTGAGGCTTATGTAATGCAGCTCAAGTTCTTATTTCGCATGATAAAACATCCAAAACTGTCACGGCAACAGCTTGAATAGGCACTCAAAAATAAGCCGACAGTGGAGGAGTTTTGAATGAGATAAAATCTGCGTCGTAATTTAGTCCCATAGAGTTCAAAGACTTTGAACACACACTTGGAAGCTCTTCCGGATGATGTTGAGAAAGAAGACGGCAAGTTTTTTAAGATCATTAGCACTTGGCAACAGAGAGAATAAAGTATAACGTGGACAACTGTTCAGCAACGTCCTGCCGATTCGAGGGAGCAGGCGCTCTGTTGGGTGCGGCAAAGCTGCGCCGCGACGCCGGGCGTCCTCCTATCCCTCCTCTAAACAGCAGTGAGCCTGAAAGCAACCGTTCGCACCGACAAACCTTTGTGTCTTTCTCTTTCTAATGCTATCACCAAGACACCAGGATACCTATTGTATATCTCTCTCCCTCTCCACAACCAAACCAGAGTCGATTGGCCACGTATCCCCTGATGTTCAACGGTGCGCGCGTAAATGCGCAACCCTCCTGCACTACTACCACAAGGAATGTTCAATGCCAAGCGTACTAACGCCAAACAGGGGAGGATTCAAAACCGTGGAATTTGTGTATTTTGATGCACCACGTAATATATCTGATCATGAAAATAGTTTTATGGTATTAGATATTGATTTCTGATGTACCTGCTGTCAACATCAGGAAGATTATCAACTTTTTATTTTAATACTCTTGATTCTTAACTCAATTCTAGTTATAATAAATGACAAAGTGAGCTTGTTAAGTCTTTAAAATTTAAAACTATTTATCAACTACCAAGGATTACAGGTAAAAAATAATTACGTTAAATTCTATGGTTAACCCTTTTTCTTCACAATTAGATTCAAAAAACGATAATCAGAATATTTAATTTCGCTAACACTATTAAGGGATCCCTCCAATGTAATTAATACCTCAGGTAAAGTAAGAAATTGACTTTACATCACTTATCAAGTTTGAAAATGCCTGAGAGCATGAAAAAAAATTATTTTTCAGCTCACCAGGAGCTAATGATAATTGTAAACAATTGAGATAAATTGAAATAAAGAGAAAACTTTAAATTGTCAATTTTTGTACGTGCCATTGATCTTTTAGGGATATTGAAATGCTATCGACAATTCAATGTAAATGAATGAAAAATAATAAAAGTTTGATTAAACCATTTAAAGCAAACTTTTAAATGTTCCTGTAGAATTAATTAATTGAAGCAGATATAGTCTCATTACAAAATACTTTGATGTTTCAACTTTTGCATATTTTTATGTACGTTTATTCAGAAATAAAAGGGGTGTTCATGAATAAAAAAAAAGACAATTACTTTTGGCGACGATTCATGTACAAAAGAGCTTTGTGAATATATGGAAAACGATGCGTTCTACGAGTACATTCTTTTGATTGCAATTTCGTGTTACAGTTTTTTGTTCAACATATTCTGACCTTTTTGTCAATTACTTTTTAATTCTCTTGTGTATATAGGAATACAATAATCGTTGGAGACAAAAATAAATTGGCGAATAATTCTATGAAGAAGAATTTAAATAAACTAAATAACTTTAAAGTTACAAAAAAAATTATTTTTATGAATGTGTTTTCCTTTTTGTTATTGAACGTAAAAAATCTATAAAATTTTTGCACACAACAACTTTTCTATTTTATTGGTCAACAATTTTTACAACTCTCCAAACTTCTGGTCTGCACTAGACAAAAAAATATTGATTCAATCAATAGGAAGGATTTGAAATATTCGTAATTGAATATTTTATTAAATTTAATTCCAAAAGAATATTTAATTGCAAATATTTAAAACTTGGATTTTGCTAGTTGCAAAAAAATATTACTCATTCGCATTGAATTTTTTTCTCAGAGTCCATGTTGTCAAGGACTCTAGAGGAGGTTATTGGAATATTGGCTCAAGTCTCGATATTTCCGCATGTTTGAGCCTTTACATAATCTCAGGGGCAAGGGACAGAGAGATGTTAATTAATGAACAATTTGTTAATTGAAGCGGTCAGACGAGAAATCGATCATTGTTACAAGACCCCAACTCGCACCCAGATTCTGCTCATAAGGGGATATCATGTATCGTGTATGAAGTGTATATGTGTGTATATATCATAAAGAAAATAATGGGCAACCCCTGATATTGTGACCAGAACAGAAGTCGCTCCGCCTTCTCTGTCGACAATCCATGATGATGTTTTTTGTCCGACAATTATTTGAATGCACCTTGAAATACACTCATATTTCATTCGTCTCATTGTCGAGTTGTGTAAGTTAAACCGGGCGTTACTATCCCTCATTGTTAGAGTCTTTGAACGTCAGAAAACGGGAGGTTTTATTCATGATGTTACCCACCATCACAGCTCTCTTGTCTCCTCTGCATGAATTTTTGTCGCAGCATCAGAGCTAATTCAATCATATATTTGGAACTTTGTGATGTTATTCTTTGTATAAAGATCATCTCAGATGTACTAAAAGTAGTTAAAATGTTTTTTTGAAGACGACTTTCCGATGAAAAGAGAAAAAAATTCGTAGAAGATGGGTGGGAAAAATCAACAAATCAAATTAAAGAGGACTCGACTGCGAAAAGCACACTCATTTTTGTTTGTCAGAATTTTTGTATACAAAAAAATTGTCAATTCATGTAGGGCGCCAGAGGTAAATTTTTATTGCGTGGGATAACAAGGAATAATAATCATATAAAACATACAATTCTACGCTAGGAGAGAATAAATGAAATACAAATTCATGGTAATCGATCACGACTGTTTTTTAATATTTCAAATATATTTTTATGTCAATTGAAGAACCATTTCCTGGTGAGCATTTTGAATTATCCATTTGCATGGTTCCGCAAGATAATTATCTGCATCAAACAATGCTTTGTAGATTCAAAATGAACAATAGTGTTTCATAATTAACTTCAAGTATACTATTCTGCAGATATTTACCATAATAGATGAATTAATTACCTTATAATATATTATCAACTAAAATAACAATCTATCTGTTTGGATTATTTTATTTCAAACATCAAGTCTTTCTACATCTACCATAATTCATTTAGACACATAAAAAATGAAAGAGAAATATTTCATTTCATATGAAATGGAATCAACTAACTGAAAGCCATATTCCAACATTCGTAATGAAAATAGCTTAAATTGTACCTTTGCTTTTTATTTGGCTAAAAATATTTTATCTACATATTAAATTGATTGCTTTATTTTTCTTTCAAAAATATATCTGAACTACATCAACATTTAAATAAATACATTTATTCATTATTAAAATGATAAAATATTTATTTTCCCTTCACACAAGTTTTTAAAGATTCTTTTCAACAAGATTATTTAAAAACTAAACATTTACAGTGTTTAATGCCATAAACAGACTCTAGCAGCTTGATAGACGAATTTTAAACACTTTTTGTTGTTCATCAAAATACTACAATTATTTATGGTG